CATCTGGGTCAGTCGCTACTTCTGGTGAGATCTTAGTTTGACCAGTTATTCAACTTATCAAAGATGTTATACAACTGTCTTCGTTCCATCACTACAGGATAAACTGGTAGACTTGCAGCAGACGGTTCACTTCCTTAGTACGTTAATTCATCTTTTATCTAATCGTGTTTACCTGTTCCTAACTTGATCCGAGTTTGGTAAAAGAATTGAATAAACATAACAATTAGTCATTGATTGACCCTCTATTTAATTTCCTCCCATTTTTCAGACTGGTAAAGTAATAAATATTGTGTCAAAAAACAGTGTGTAGGAAAGAAGCGGTTGCATTGAAACGAAGATATCCAGGAAACAGTTGACACAAGAATAACACGTTGTAGCCATTCATAATGTGTGATTTCACATGTCCCAGCGCACAGCAATTTCCTGCAGTGACAACCCCACATTGTTATTAACATACAAGAATTTCAAAGGCAGATTTATCAATGAGCTTCCAGACACCTGCTTAACGAGCCTATCAAAGCACTTCATTCTGACCGGCTAACAATTCCAAACTTGTCACAAACGCCCCTGCAGCTTGGGAGCTATTCAACTGAAGTATTGCCTTCAGTATTTGGTTTAATTTAGGTCGTATGAGCATAATACTGATAATTAGGTTATGGAGGGAAAAAAGGCAACTCTCACTCCTAAACTCCTGGATCCTTTCTGATCTGAATAGGAATAAGAACCACTAAAAGAAAAGATAAAAAGTAGAATATTGAGAATTAGAAAATAAATAAATACAACTATATTTCCATATTGATTATAAGTTGGTAATAATAATAAATGATAGATTTCTAAACATATATTTTTTTTTTTATTTATAAATTTTAACCATGTTTGTTCCCCTTCAATTTTGCTAATTCTATATTTTATATTTTCATTTGTTTACATAGATATAAATATATATATATAAATATATTATATATATATACACATATACATACACACACACAGTTTTAAACTATCTGAACGCCCATTAGTTGATCATAATATATGCTGTCTCTTATACACATCTAGATGTGTATAAGAGACAGATATAGGTGTGTGTGTGTGTGTGTACATATATGTTTCCACTGTTTATATGTATTTGTACTTCTATAAAATACACAAACATGTTTAGGAATGCTCAATTTGCACAACAGTAAAACAATCTTTAAAATCAGGGGGTGTTATTAATGTCTTGTATAATTCAAACACAAACAATTACCAGTCCCTAAGGCCTGTATTGAATGGCAAGCTCAACACACAAATTGCACCTGGTCTGAATAGAATAGAAAGCTTATAGGCGAAAATTTATTACCAGGTCGAAACCTCTAAAGCTATCTGGCAGTTTGTTTCAGCTAACATATCTCAGAAGAATGGTCCACAAGAACAAAGTAATGAGAAGGAATAGAAATTATTTGTTAAACAAATATTCAATGAATTTAATTTGTAATAATATTATTGGGATGTTGGATGTAGGCATATATTTGTTTACAGTGTTTATATTAGTGATCCAAAAGATCACTCTGCAGGCTTGCTACATGAATTTTTTTTTAAATAGTTATATTTTTAAATTATTAATATAATTATTAATAATATAAATAAAACAAATAATGCTTTGGCCTCTTTTCATGTTGCTATAGGTCTACATTTTTTTTATATTCTTTGCATATAAGGATTCATCAATTTGGGTTTTTTTTAAAGAGAGTAACATAGTCTTTTCTGTGATCCCCTCCCTCTCCAAAAAAAAGTAAATAATAAATAAATAATTTTAGTCATTTGAGGTTGTTTTCCTTTTCATAAAAGTGTACATACACTTTTTAACCCTTTCGCTAACGTACATTTTGTATTCTTGTGAAATAATAAATGGTAGATGACTCCTAACCCTGTTATTGTTGTTATTATTGTAAGTGTTTTTTTACAATGATTGTTTTCATCATACTTATGCTACTGAATTCAAGATTCTCACAGTTTTCATACGATTAAAACCTAACATGTTGTTTTAATCCAGTAAAATGGGTGGAAATCTTTACAGAAAAAAAACACAATGTTAGCATGTAATCTTCACACCAGGTTTAACCTCCTCTGAATGCAGAGGTGTGAAATGTTTACAGGTAATTGGTAGGATTACTTACTGTTGATCTGTAAACAGCCATTCAAGGTAATGATAATAGTGTTATAGATAACAATCTAATGATTGAATCTAATGTCTTGTCTTTCAAGTATCTTGCAGTGAAAGTTAATTAAAGCATGGAGGTTGTGCTAGCAGCAGGGAGTTGTTATAGTGAAGCAGTGGCAGCGGCAGTAATAGAAGAAATTCACCCCTAGTCCTGTGGAAAATTACCCATAGATCACCTGACAATGGTCCTGCTTTTGGACATGGCATAAACAAATGTGACCCGCTCTGGCAAAATCCGCCGTTTGTTGCAATTTCTAATTTGCCACAAGCACCCAAAATGTTCAAGAATCAGAATTTTGAACATTTACATATTTTTGCATTTTATAAAAGAAGATATATTGAATGACATTTGTGCAAAATATAAATCACTCATCTAACTGAAAAGAATATTAAAATGATTTTTAAAATACAAATTCTAATAACAAACTATTGATTTTGGATGCTGTTTTCTCAAAACCACATGGCTGATATCCAATGAATTCAATATTCATAACTAATACTCAACCACTTTCTATGAAAAAACACTGTTTTAAAGAATTCATGCAGAATCTAACAACACTAAAACTCAATTTTGACTTTGCCTACAAAAGGTTCGTTTTGCCAGAGCCGTTGGGAGCTGAAAAAAAAAGGAGACAGCTAAGTTTATGAAAAGCATATAAAGGAAACCATAGGAACAGCGCCTTAAATATCATACTCCACTAGCTAAATTGATCACTATAGTTTATTGCATAAGTTATTAAAAAGGAAAGACAATTAAGTTTATGAAAAGCAAAAAAAGGAAACCAATATACTCCACAGACTAAATTGTTCATTTTTGGTTACTACTACAGAAATTGTTTCAATTGTGACTGCTTTCATTCAATCCCTCTACAGTAAGAAAGGTTCAGAAATACCTTATTTCGTGGGTGAGGAGAGGGGTAAGAAAGTATTATAAGGGAAATAAATAAATAATCAGTAATATTCCATGTACAGTACGTGTGTTACGGCTTTTGTCAAGAAATGCTTCGCATGCTGTAAGTAAACTAAATATAAAGCTTACACACAAAAATGTTCAATAATGCCTCGAGAATATAACAAAATATGTGAGCTTACATAAAAAATATTGTTGGCTATCTTAAAATGTACTTCAATTTCATATTTTGGTTCATCATAATTTATTAGAATGTTATTACTGGTATTATTCAATTACAAATATAAAAAAACAAATTTTGTCATAATAAAAAATGAATTGAAATACACAAAAACATTAACATGAGGACGGAATCACAGGTAATGATGAGGATGCCATCACCATAATATTATTGAATTCATATTTAAAAATTGCATAGAACATAATGCACAGAAATATGTAAGGAATTATACATAATATGATAGAGAAAAAAAAAACAGCTACGCTACTAAGATAAACATTTTGCTACAAAGCTTCAAGCCTGAACAAAAAAAATGACTGAATTCACATCAGGTCCTAGTTAGATGAATTTTCACACAAAATGATTGATTTTACATTATTTCACATTTGTATGACATGTACAAGTAGTCAAATTAAATTTTCATTTAAATATTTTTTTTTTATCCTCACACCTTCTGAAAGCTAACTATTTTATTTACATCTAGAAATGCAAATCAATCTAAATCTGTTATAAATACTTAATGAGCGATTTTACAATTTCATGAGAATGCAATCATGAATGCTTCATAATGACATATTTCGTTGTTGATATTCATATCCTGCAAGCAAACGCTGAACTCAAGGTGATAGTTGCTGATTTACATGGAAAAAAATAATAATCAAACTTACATTACAAAAGTTATCTCTCTGAATATATTGTGCACTGCATTATCGTGAATATTACAATAAAATTAATAATCACCAATCGGTTTTTGAATTGTACTAATAATCTAATAGCAAATTTCTATGCTTATTATTTCTAGCATTTTTCTATGAAATCTCTTTCCATTTTAAGTATTCTAATCATACTAAGGTATTCAAGTAAATATTAGTTTCTTATTTAACTTCTGGAAAAAATAAGTTACGAGGGTATTTTTTAATGGTCATTGTGATGCTAATACAGTATATGATATTCTGGTAAATGTACAAATTCAACCTACACAGTACTAATCACAGGCAGTGCAATTTTTGCCACACTTTGCCTGTGGGCATCGCGTTCCATATTCACCCACTGCCTATGCGGGCAAAATCCGCCCACGGTAAGGATTTTAGAAAAGAACATTACACATATTGATTTCAAGCTGCCAACAGGACCTGCGGTGTCCACGGTCTAGACTAAGTACACAATATGCAAGGACTTTCAATTCCACAGCCTGCCTTAACATCGGCACTGGTTCCAGCCACTCCTCGTCCTGGTTCGGTCGGTAGAACCAAATCTTTTCGGATAAGGACTTAAAATGGAGGTCCAGTGGTCCAGAGGTCCATCAGGCTTGTGTGCACTTTAAGAACCCATTGCCTCTTTCGGAAGAGTAGGGGGTTACCCCGATGTTATGGTTCATTTCAGCCCCTGTCGTTGTGGAATGATGTGAACATGTATCTACCAATAAGCACCTCTTTACGGCTGCTAGGTAGTCACGAACCACGCACATATGCAATTCAGCACAATGACGCTGCGAGTTATGGGTTATTCCCCTTACCATTACATTTACTGTAGTTTATTATAGGAATGGTGGTAAATGTTGACCTTCCCTTTTATTGAAAAAAAAAAAACATTTTGTTTTGTAAATAAAATTGTATATAAATCTAAACTTATGTTAATTACTATTTTGAAAATATTAGATTTTCAACATACCTGTACAACCTTCATATGCGAGTTACCACCACATGTTCTCTCCTAGATCAATTTGTACACATACCCATAAGCATACATGGACAGTCTCAGGAAGCAATGATCCTCCTGTTTTAAACCTAAAATAGAAATGTATGTGCTGTGAACAGAAATTTGATTTGTGTTTCACACTATGTCTAAGAATAACTTGCATGCATTTTAGTAAAGATCGGCAGACCAACGCAAGTGCCATGAACAGTGGCATAGGCCTATTTTTGGTGAGGGATCTCCCCAAGAAACTTGTGCAGCACTCTCTTCTCCCACCCTAGGGTGCTCTAAATAGATAAAAATCATCTCGTACCACCTTGTTGGCTAACATCCCTTCATTTTATTATCAAGCCCCTCACTTAACCTTCCAGCCCCCACCCCATCATCATTCCCTCCCATATGAATAGGCCTACATACGCCACTGGCCATGTATGAGTGAAGTGCAATGAGCGCTGTGCTTAATTGAAATTCATATGGAATACAGTAGTGTGTCAGTATATTTTGTAACAGTGTACAAATGTGTAGGGGACAACAGGTGGTGTAATATCCCTATATAAATAAAATACAGACTTCCTATGTTATTTTGTAGGAATTTTGGACTTGAATGGCAAAATAATCATAAATGTTGCAAACATTATATAAGTAATCATATATATCAAATTTGAATTACCATACTTTAAAATTTAAAACTAATAAAAGCATAGACCAACAAAAAAAAAATTAATGAAAAAGCCATATTGGAGGTACTCTATTCTAGTTGTTAAGAGATACCTGTATATTAATACACAGAGCTCAAGGGAAGTACTCATAAAAACAATGTTAACAAAGCAGTTAGGGACTTAAGGAGACACAAGTGTTTAAAATACATTAAAAATCATTCATCATTTACAGCATGGAGCAAATATTAATAGCTCCATGTTTACAGTAATTTGTAAATGAGCATAAATTCTGAAAAGACAGGGGCAAGGAATATCAGTGTTCATGCTACACAAAGCCATCTGTTGTTTAAAAAAAGAACATGGTGGGCGAACAATTTGTACTTTTAATGGCAAAGTGGTTAATGTAAATATTTTTATAATTTATTGTGGGAGTATTTTAATATTTTTAAAAGCAATAGTAATCAAATGTTTAGAATCACATTCAACTATGGATGCCTAACAAAAATTAAAGTGGAAATGCAGCCTACAAACAAGTTGAACAGAAAAAATAAACTAAAAAATAAAACAAATAAGAAAATAAACAATAATAATAACAAATTGTTTATGATAAAAACAATAAAAATTGTTAGGGATAATATGCCTACTCTCCAGAAAAACAATTCAATTAAAATTTGCTTGTTTATAAGGAAGAAATAAGTTATGTACTTCCACAGCAAAAAATATTGTCCTTTTTTATTTTATAATTTAAAGTTAACAAATTACTTGAGACTGACAAAATAAGCAATCCAAATAGGCTTATATATTTTTTTCGTAAGTTTTTCAGTAAAAATTTAGTAAATCATACAAATGTCAATATGAAGAGATTCAATTGACATTAAACTGTTACATAAAACATACCATACTGTAAATAATCAAAAAAGTTATGTTTTACATCAATTAAATTATAAAAGACCAAGGTAGTGAAGCAGATTTCATATCCAGCAAATACTTGATGTAATTTATATACTTGACATTTTATTGTATGTACTGTATCATATTTTATGTATTTTTCAATAAAAATCTATAAATAAAAAGAATGAATAAACAATAATATTTTAAAAGAAATAAAATTGAATACATCTACTAAAATTATCTTTCAGATAATTGATTAATTGAATTTCTGTTACAGAATTAGACATGTCATATTTTGTAATTTGAAGTTGCTTCATTTTAAAATGTCTGGTGTCATCTTGAGGTTAAGGGGTTTTCATGTAAACAATCATATTTCAATACATGATTGATGAACAGAAGGCACTATTGGATTTTTACCATCTGTGAGATAAACTTGAATGACACAAAAAAAACCATTATCCATAGTTTATTTTTATTACTCTTCAGTGGCGAATTCAGGAGGGGGGGGAGGGGGAGCAGCAGGACCAGGTCCCCCAAAATTGTTCATATTTTTTTTTTAATGTGAGAGAAATAGAAAATTATATTCAAATTTAAGTCTCAGAGTGCCACTTCTGGCCATAATCATAATTTTTTTTTGCCTCAGCCCCAACCATGGTGGGACTGAGGCGGTCTAGACCCTCTATTTGTGGAAATCCCTCAC